CATCAGCAGGAAGGTGCCTCTACCTGTCATAAGCAGCCCCACAGGAGGGTTGTAGAATCCCAGGGTTTTGCAGGCACACCACGGGTCACAGCCTGGCACCTGCACAGGACATGGTTCCTCCCTAGAGCAAAACCAGTTTGCAGCAGAAACAAAACACACACACACAAATCCACTCCTGTAAAGGCATGTCCCCGTGGGTGAAGATCCCACAGAAATATTTACCTTTGCAGAGAGGTGGTGCAGCATTCACACGTTTCTGTAGTAGCATTTCTGCAGCCACTGCTACAGAAACTGCAGCATTTCCTGTAGTGTTCTTATAGAAAGACAGAGTGGTGGAGAGTCAGGTCCTCCAGTTCAGTCCAGAGGCATTTTGAGCTTTGTTGAAGTGAGAGGGAAAGAATCTGAACTTGGATTCAAGTGCTGAGTCGTGATTGACATTGGTTTTATCTCTAACTTGACTTTAAAGATCCTGCTAATATTATGAGTGTTGAAGTTTATAGCCCATTTCCCCCCTTTGTCATCTTAAACTTGTTTAGCATTTGCCAAGCTTGGAAAAAAAGATGAAGATACCTTCCTTGGGTCAGTGAAGGCCCTGGCTGCTTTAGAACAATTGTTGCATTCTTGTTTCCCTAGTATTTATTTTTGACTGAACCACTTCCTTCTGTTTTTCTGTTGAGAAAAAAAAGATACTTGGCTTTGGAACCTGCAAGTTTCATCAAAGTAGTGAAATGTGCCACAGAAGCTGTCTGTCAGTGGGCAGGACAAAACCCCTTAAGCTTGTGTGTTCTCCACAGTAATTTCAATTCTATTTAAATTGTTCTTTTTTTCATTCTAGAGCACTCCACAAGATTCCGAATGGGGCCTGCCTCCTGGTCATGGGCATGATTTAAGAGGAAGCCCTCAGGAAAACAGCATGGAAAGATCTGGAGGTCGGGACATCTCAGATCTTCTTCCTCCTGCTGTGCAACTGGCTGAGAGCATATCCCTATCAGTTCCAGGACCTCCAAGGTGAGAAATGAAGTTTCTTCCTGTGAGCCAAATTGAAGCCCTGCTGCTCTTGATGGCCGGGGACTGTTTGTTAAGTTTCTGTTCTTGTGTAACTAATTTTCAAAATCTATCATCCTGATTGATGATGTAGTCTTCAAAATAACTTGACAAAACAAGACTACTTACTGTTTACCAAGCTGGCTTTCTTGCCTTACTTGCATAACTCTAAACAAGACTCCAGCTGTTGTAGTAACCCCTGACTTAACCTTCCCATGCTTTTTGCTCATGCTAATAAACTCTCATCTGAGGCACAAACATTAGAGCTTTTTGTAGCTGCATGTGATAGTGAAGTAAGAAGTAATTGTAAACAACTGCAAAATGCTGTGCTCAGCTCTAACAATCCTACTCAAAAGTACCAACCCTGCTAAGATTTATTTGCATTGCACTCCTCTAAATATCTTAAAATTCACCTGGTTAAATAAATAGGTGCTAATAAATAATAAATAACAGGGCTATTTTCAGATTTATGGTGTTCTCGGGGGCTATGAAGGATGGCAGTAGGCAGCATAATTGAGATTTTATCCCAAAGGGAATATTTTCTGAAGCATTGAGGTTTTTGCTCTCATTTTCCCATGCCACTGGGGTTGTCATCTCCTGCAGTGAAGACATTACCTGATGCCAGCAGATCTTTCACACAGGACACCACACTTCCCATTTCATCAGTGTCACCTGGGTTGGAAGAGCTACAACTTAGAAGGAGAGGCAGTAACTTGCTGATAAATGTGTAGTGTTTTTTAGGCTCTGGGTAGTGTTTTCATGAACTTTCATAAAGATTGGAGATTTCACTGTAGAAAGATTTGCTGAATCCTAAGTGGAGTATGTGTGTTTTAGGGTTTTTTTGGCCTGTTTCCACCAACCCTGGCTTCCATTTCTGATTCTCCAGTTTGCCTCTTGCAAAAGACATGGGCAAATGGAAAACAAGAACAAGCAGTAGTCAAGTAAAATATTTCAAATGCTGTTAATACTGTACCAGGCAATAAACTCTTCATCCTTTATTCTTCCTAATTTCTTAGGGGGGAAAAAAAGCATTTCTTTCCTGAAAAGGGTGGTCAAACACTGGAACAGGCCTCCTAGAGAGGTGGTTGATGCCCCAGGTCTGTCAGTGTTTAAGAGGCATTTAGACCATGGCCTCAAACATGCTGTAACTTCTGGTCAGCCCTGAAGTGGTCAGGCAGTTGGATCATGGTAGGTCCCTTCCAATATTCAGTTCTATAATGATTGATATCAGTTTATAACAGTTTACAGAAGTTTAAGTCCAAGTGCAGGTACCAAGTAGGATCATAACTGACCACATCAGGGAAATTTCAGGGAAACTTAGAGACATGGTATAATCTAAAAAGTCTTCCCAAGAAAAAACAGCTGCCTTTGTGGAAGGGACAGTCTGGCTGTGCTACAGAGCTCATCATTCATTCATGGTTGCATTTCATGGTCTTGAAGGTCTCTTCCAACCAGAACGGTTCTATGATTAGGTTGTGGTACTTCAGCACACACAGGAAGATATTTACCATTCATTCTATTTTTCTGGCTGCCACTAACATCTCTTAATTATCTAATGAAAATAAAGTCTGAGCAAAGCCAGTTTACAGTGATTAAGGTATTTAGACTTAAGGTTTAAGGTGATGAAAGGTTGTGCTTCTTTCCCAGAATGTCTGGTTATTTCTTTTCTAATGTGGCACCACTTTACTATCTAGCACAAGGTCTACATATGAAACAGCTCTTCCCTGGATGAATTTCTCATGTCTTGAAGGTTTTCTGTCCATTTCCATTTCAAATGAAGAAAGCCATAGATGTCATTCACACTAGTTAGAAAAAACTGAGTATGGAGTTGTGGTGTACACTTGGACAGGGTGAGAATTTCAGATGTTAACTGAAATAATAAACCATCAAAACACAAATATTACATGTACCCTCCAGCTTGTAGTTTCTCTTGACAGTATTGTGCATAATGACTACATTGTATGTGTGCAATGGTGAGTAATCATGCTGTCCTAGCTGAAGAAAATGTAAATTTCTTGCAAGCTACTTAAAATGGGATGTTTGTGACAGTAAAATAGTCATTTTCTGCTATTCTTAGCAGTGTGCAGTTTATGGGAAGGGGGAAAATATTCAGGGAAATGAGTATTACTAACTGCTGTATTTTATAGTAGGCCTTATAATGATGAGCATTCCAGCAAATTGGAGCTGTCTGTGAAATGTCAGATGTCACAATGTCAGATATCAGAGTGTACTTAGAACTGCAACACCCATACACCCTCTGACTGACAGCATTTGTACCAGCAGCCACCTCATACAGTGTCTGTGCCAACTGCTAGGACCTGCCTTGTGCAATGTTTCTGTCCTGTGAATGAAGCAGCAGCAGAGCTCACCCCAGAGGGCTTACATTGTGTATTTTCTTGTTTCTCAGGAAGCATCTCTGTGCTTATTTTTGTTGTCCACTTTTTAAGGAATTTGTTTATACAACTTCTCCAATGGATGACTGTAAGGACTGTCCTGTAGAATCACAGACTGGGTTGGGTTGGAAGGGACTCTCAAAGCTCATCTAGTCCAACCCCCTGCACTGAGCAGGGACATCTGCAACTAGAGCAGGGTGCTCACAGCCCTGGCCAACCTTGCCTGGAATGGTTCCAGGGATGGGGCTTCTACCATCTCTTTGGGCAACCTGGGCTAGTGTTTCACCATCCTCAGTGTAAAAACATTTCTGCCTTGTATATGGTCTAAATCTCCTGTTTTTTAGTTTAAAACCATCACCCTTTGTCCTGTCACAACAGACCCTTCTAAAAAGATTGTCCCCATCTTTCTAAAAGGCCCCCTTTGGAGTCCTGGAAGGCTGCAATAAGGTCTCCCCAGAGCCTTTTCCTCTCCAGGCTGAACAATCCCAACACTCTCAGCCTTCCCTCACAGCAGAGGTGCTCCAGCCCTCTGATCTAGACTAGCTACCAGGAAACTGGTGGGGACAACACCACTGTGAAACACTCAAAATGCAAAGTGTGCTTTCAACTCCACGACCCAACACTAACTCCCAGGGGTGAACTTTATCAAAGCAGCTCATGTCTTTGAATTTCATCTTCCACACCTGCAAAATGGGTATGGAATGTGCAGTGCAGTATGTTAAAGGGCAAGAGATTCCTAGATCTTGTCAGAAGGCAGCAAGAAGTATGCAGAGACTTACTTCCTGATCTTGCTCTATTCATTTGTGGACATGTAAGGAGCTCAGATACACAAAGTCAGCAATGTCCCATCCAAGAGCCCTGGGAAATGGTTCTCCATCACTTCTGTGATGTTTGCTTTATTGTTAAAGTTCAAATATATAAAATTGAGGAGGGCACTTTGGGGGAGGGCAATTGGTCAGCAATATCTTCTTCTGCTTTTGTCTCCAGGAAAAAAATGGCAGGTGGCAAAATCGTATCAAGCAGCCAGGAAGGAAGCTGTATTCACCCATGTAGCAGCATTTTGTTGCTCTTGTCCACTCTGGTGGAAAATGTTCTTGTTCTTGATGAAATGTGTGTGGGCACAGCTAGCAAAGAGGGATGAAATGTTGGGGGGGGTGTTGTGAAGAGGAAAGTGTCAGCTTGTTGCTCTTGTCCACTCTGGTGGAAAATGTTCTTGTTCTTGATGAAATGTGTGTGGGCACAGCTAGTAAAGAAGAGGGATGAAATGTTGGGGGGAGGGGGTGTTGTGAAGAGGAAACTGTCAGCTTCAAGTTCCTCTTGAATGGGAAACCACTGAATACTGCCCACAGACAGATCCATAGCATTGCCACTATTGGAGGGACTTCTGGTAAGCTTCTCAAAGCATTGTCACCTGAATATTTGACATGAGACCTGTAGCATTTCTCATCTCTTCATATGGGTGGACCTTTAAACCTTCATCCTGAGGGTGAGGTCGAGCAGTCCTGCCATTGAAAATGGCCTCTGTGGCAAACACGGCTACAAGGTCCTGACTGGAGACCTCACCATGGCTTCTAACCCAACAAGGAATGGCCTGTCTTACTGACAGCATCTCCTCTGAGCACACAGAAACCTACTAAATGTCTTGTGAAACTTATAAGCAAGTTCTGTTCCTTCCTTTGTTTGACTTTGGTGTAGTAGACTTTAACCCTCAGATTACTGTATCTGTGCTGCTGTTCTTTTCAAAACCTGCTGTTCTTCATGATGATGATTTGGCATATTGTGGGACTCAGAACAGCAGCTTTTCAAAAGATTTTTTTCAAAGTAGCAAGTATCTTTCTTCTCTGTTGTATTGGTGGTAGAGGTATCTGATAGTCTGAACTGAAGCCAGGAGTTGTACAGCAAGGAAGTGGGCCAGATAACCTTTCTCTCTGTGGCTCTGGATTTTAGTGGAGGCACAAGTTCAGGCTCCAGCTAGAAGCAGGCACAGGAACACTAAACATGAATGGAAAAACAAGCCCTGGAGCTGGGCTGCAGTGGTTTGCAGCAGAGTCAGCAGTTCTTGCAGGTGGCCTTTTGGACGCCTGTGAAGTGAAGAAGGAACTAGTTACACTGATGTGGTTTGAGACAGTGGCCTGAGTACAGCTGAGTAACACACGGCTGCTCGTCACTCACCCAGCATATTAGGCTGTCCAAACTGGTGTTAAATGGGCCAGTGGTAATGCAGAGTGTGGGGTGTAGTCTGTTATCTTGAGGTCTGAGTATTTGTGGTTTGGCTGCAGCAAGTGCAGCCTTGCTTTTTACTACTAGCATATCCATTTTTATGCTGTTCTGTGACCAATTTGCACTTTTGAATGTGTTGTTCAGACATGGCACAGCTGCAGTTCTCCACAGCTTCCTGCTCAAAACGTGAGCACTGAGAACACCTTGACTTACCTTCTAGGTGTCTACAACAGCTTCACACCTGAGCGTGCAAAACTGAGCCTTGTGAGATGGGGGTTACGTGGATGAGTCAGGTTGTAGGGATTCATAAGATTCTTCTTTCAGGAAACTTCTTAGATGGGGGGAGCTCAG